CATTCACAGTTCATCTCAACACTTCCACACGAACTGATGCATACATTCACAGTCATCTCAACATTTACCACCGAACTGATACATGCATTTATGTACCATGTAATATGCATTATGGTCCACTCTCCTCAAGAAACAAATACATGAGTGGCAATTTAGTCAAAGACGAGAAAAAAATAAATGTGCCTTATATACATTATCGGCATTGCACGCTGACCAGCAAGTTCCTCTTCATATGTCACAAGGGGTATTTGAGTATGTTAATGAGGAGCCTCGTTTTAAAATACATAAAAATAAAATTGGAGTAGATTGGGTTTGTACCCCATTTTTTCCCTTAACATAAAAATAATAATATTGTTGTACCAATAAATGTTTTTGGACCAGAAAATAGCAGTAATTTCACGGGTATTTTAAATCAGAAAATTGAATGTCACATTCCAAACTACTACAATAATATTATAGAATACCATATGAACAAATGCAAAACAAAAATAAAGTGGGAAGTTTTGTCATTTCCGTGACATTTCAACGTCTTGTTTTTCAATATATAGTCGGTAACCAAATGTTAATGTTTCAGTAAAATAATGGTATGAGCGCATATTAATGAATTCACGAAGAAAATGGCGAAAATCTTCAATTTGACCAAATCACTTGCTTTACAATTCAAACCACTCCTGTCTGTAGCCACTTAGATTTAACAAAGGCGAATTCGTGCAATGGTTTTATACAAGCTATATATGAACAACTCCGAGATTGCCTGTAGATTTCTGGGCTTTTGATCGAACCAAATGTCATCCGCTCTTTGAATTTCTCCCTTGCAATCTCGTACTTTAAGGGCGGCGTTCGAATTTCGTGTAAACAAACAAGCAAACAATGTATTTTATACGCGTTGCGTACTGTACGCTATATCGCCTTTTTAAGTATCTTGCATTTGCGATTAGAGGGTGGGCAAGGGGGTAGCTGGTACAGTTTTACGGGAAATAAAAAGGGCTTTTTACAATTTACAAAGAAAAAAAAGACGTTTTTACAGCTTACAGTGATAAAAAATAGAACATTGAATGGTCCGAAGTGCTCTCCGACTCAAATTCTCCGCCATTGCTGCGCCGCGTGTAGAGACGCATGCGCATATTACCCTCGTAATGCTCTTCATTCGGTTAGAGGGCCTTTTACGCCTTGAAATTCAATTTTGCAGTGAATTGTGTCATCTAGTCGTTTTACAGTTTCTGAAATGTAATTTCCTTGGATTATTCTTTACGATTTTTTTTATTTGGATGTAAATTCTTGTACGTACCGAGAAAAATGACACATTTTTACAGTGTACGAAAAAAATATTTGATTGATTACGTTGTACGTCTATCCTGTGATTACAGAATTACGGAATTTATTTTTTCAATTTACGTTGTACGAACAAAAAAATATTGCAATTACGTTGAACGAAAATAACCTTTGCCCCCCCCCCCGAATAGATAGACCCTTTACCAAAGAAGTGTTTGTGTTGCGCCCTCTGTCGGCACACTTCTGGGAAAGAGTGATCCTAAGTATGACGTTGTATAAGCCTTGGGTCCTGGATACCGGGATTGTAACATGTAAATCACAGTTCATGTAAATCACATTGTTGTCCTAGTCAAACAGGCTGTGGACTCTCACTCCGTGGGCATCGGTAGATATCTCCGAGACCGGACCGTGACTAGACTCATCATCACCCCGAGCTCATCGGGTGAAATTATTAGTCGCGTCTTGTACACGTTACAGGCGTCTTGCTGATTTTATTCTTCGCGCAGTTCCGAAAAATTTCTTGATCTTTTTACAGAGATGTCAATCATTTGGTTCAATGACCTTTTACCTCTTGATAATACCGCAATTATTGTTTTGGTGTCTGTTCGTTCGACATTTGACGATAAGGGTTTAGAACCCTTTACATTATATAACAGTATTTTTGTATGGATGTGGTGACAATGACAGTTAAAGTATCATTGCTTGGAATGTGTACATCTATATTGTATTCTCTCTTGTATTCAACAGGATCTGAGAAGATGTTACGAATGGATCATCATGAATTGATTGCTTTTTCTTTTTTTTCTTTTTTTCTGTTCTGTTTCCGAGTCGTTTTGCTTTGCTTTGTTCCTGTAACCAAGTTACCATCCCTTGTTAAATGTGTAGGTGTTAAGGTAGAAACGGGAAAAACGAGAGTTAAAAATGTACTGCGATTCAGACATTTTCTAAATGTTACTAAGCATGCTACTATAACAACCCATACATCATTCTAGCATGGAGGTACCTCCATGATTCTAGGTAGTACATATGCCCTACCGATGTTTAAGAAATTAAGAGATGGCTAATTCTGCTGCTCTTCTTTTTTGGGAATTCCAACAACTGCAAACGTCGTTTTTTTTAAAACTTTCATTCACGCAAACGACCTGTGAATTTCACAAGACGTCCGTACAACAACGAGAGACTGGCACAAGAAAAGAGCTATGGACCCACAGCTTGGACAGCGATAGCTATTACGCCCTCGCCGGCGGATTCACTCGGACGCAATGAGAAGCTGGTATCAATATTGCTACGTTTGTTGGCAGACAGTGAGCTGTATTGCAATATTGCTGGTCGGGTTTTTTCGTTCACAGTAAAGGAGGCAGAACAGTAAAAATGGTATAAAAACATAAAAATTATCCTCACACGGTACAGCTTACAAGAAATAAACAAGGCATTTTACGTTCCATTTACAGTAAAAAATAGGTTTTTACACTTTACCGATAAAGCAAATTCCATTTTACATTTTTGTAATATATTTGATAATTTGTGTTTAAGAATCAAAATTGTAAATTGTGTAAGAATTACGACATTTAATGTGGAAAATGCTTTATACGCTTCCAAAAAATAAGATCTTTATACAAAATTACGGACGAATAAAATAGCTGATTACATTGTACACCTTGTCCATGTCTACGAATTTACGTTTCTTATTTATTTAAATTACATTATTACGAAAATAAATTGATTACAGCTTACGAAAATACCCCTCGCTTGCCTAGCCTCTTTATAGTTCACAATATTTGTTGTCAATATGTAAATTAGAATACGTAATGTGAAAATATAATGGTAAAAAATGTCCCCAAATTTGTAATTAGTATCGTGAAAGTTGGACAAACGGCTCTCTTTTTGTTTCACGAAGTTAACAGAAATACAAGAGGGCGCACCCCAAAATATAGTTAAGAAGAAACAAGCGCCTTTTAAATGATCCATGGGAAAAAACGTATTCTAGTTTGTCAGAATGTGTACAGACGAACGTGACATTGTGACATTTCAACTTTTCAAGGCGCCAAGTTCTGGAGTAAGTTATGCATTTAACATTGTAGTATAGGTAATTCCAAAATTTTATATGTATATATTATAATGTAAACGCAACCGTTGTGGCATTTACAAGATTTCGTTGAGTAAAGCGTGTCGTTTATAAGACTCTTTTGTATAAAGTGTGGCGTTTACAAGATTCCTTAGTATAAAGTGTAGCATTCACGAAATTCCTCAGTATAAAGTGTGGCGTTTACAGGATTCCTTTGTGTAAAGTGTGGCGTTTACAAGATTCCTTAGTATAAAGTGTAGCGTTCACGAAATTCCTCAGTATGAAGTGTGGCGTTTACAAGATTCCTTAGTATAAAGTGTAGCGTTCACGAATTCCTCAGTATAAAATGTGGTGTTTACAAGATTCCTTTGTGTAAGGTGTAGTGTTCATGAGATTCTTTGTATAAATTGTGCCCGTGGAAATTGTGCCGTTTATAAAATTCCATTGTGTAAATTGCGTCATTCACATGATTTATTTGTGGATGGTGTAGCGTTTACCAGATTCCGTTTTGTATAGTTTGGCATTTACATGGTTTCATTTGCTTGTCTGGGGTCTAGGCGGGGATTAGAGAATTGACATCGCCGATGACTGATTTCAAGATATATTTATTCGTTAATTGTAGTTTCACTTCATCGAGCCGAGTTAAATACCAAGATCATGAAAAGTCAAACGAAATCATTCTCGTGGACACCCAATGAGCGACGCGTGAAGCGTGCTAATAGAACACTTGTGTCGCGTACGTGGTTCCGTTCGAACACAGTCCATGCCGACTCGTGATTGGTGTCAGCGACTGAAAACGAGCCCTCTGTACTGAAAACGAGGATGCTATAAACTAATTTGATAATGAACTCTGCTTTTCACTGTATTCGTGCAACAATGTATTGAAGCCCGGTACAATCTGCCGTAGGAACGAGGCTATTGTTGTCATTGGCGACGTTTGTGTCACGTGGTCTTTAGACTAAACAGCAACGCGCAGGTTGCCGACAAGAGATCACCAAGCAAGACACCTGTAACTTTAGTATTCAACATCAAACTGCTACCATCTTGAAACCAGGTAAGAGAAATCAAACCACTGACTCTAACCACAATAAAGACTGTGGGAAAGTATATCTACTGATAGTCTTAAGTCAATATTTTATGGTTGAATTAACGAATATTTTTGTTGCCGGGGAGTTGAACAGTGTCGGAACGGGAGCATGTATGTACTTCCTCGATGGCATTGTCTCGCTGGCCTTTGTGATCTGTGCTTTCATCGCAAATTGCCAACCCGTGTTGTTGATCAGAGTTTAGTTTACTGTACGGGCCGTTAACGAGGCCCTGTCCCGCTGCCTCGAACAACTCTCGCGGATTGGTGTATTGTCGAGTGTCGTAGCTCAGTTTATTTTGTAGTTCGTTTTAGTCAACCTGTACCGGAGTTCCGTTTCACGTATTTCTAATGTCCGTTTGTCAGTGAACCGAGTGACAGGTTATTTCAACATGGCGACAAGAAATAAACCAGAGTTGTGTTTTCAAATAACCAGAGCTTTGTTGCATTAACAAGTATTTACACTGCCTTGTAAAGTTTATATTATCGGAAATAGTGAGCTTTGCCGATTTGGAACTAGTACAACAACTTGGTAAGACGCGATCTTGGTTTCTAGACTGTGGATATTTTTACTGCCGGGTTCGTGAAGTTAATTGTCCGTCGTTTTAGTACTCAACAACTTCAAGGTTGTTTTTGCAAATATGCTGTAACAGTACTTCTGTTAAATCCACTGTTGAGTGTGTTGATCGCTTTGTTTGTTTACTTTTCGTGACTAATCTCAAACGAACACATTTGATATTTGCTGTCATAAAAAACATTTACATGTTACTAGTATTTTGTGTTTGCTTTTCAGAGTGCAGATCTCGCCGTGAACACGCGGGGCCTCGCAAACCAAATCCCCGGCCCGTCAAAATGACGACGCTACCGAGGATTGCACCGAGGGAGACACCGGTCTCGGCGCCTCCAATAAGGGAACCGAAACAGAGAAATTTAAGCGCTACGGCGACGTCATTGCCCGCCCCGGCAGTCAGCATAAGCATGAACGGGAAACCGGTACCGGCTACGGTGTGGGCTCGTGTCACACATACAGCCGTTTCTAACTTGAGACCACATCAGTTCCCTAGGCTAAATCCTCTGAACCCGAGGCCCTATAGACGGACGGTGAGTTTGGAGACCACAGAGGCTCATCACCTGTTATCTCAGAGGGTGATGGCGATGAAACAAAGAGAACATTACAGGTTTCATAGCGGTTGGCAAAAACCTTTTTACGGATCTCCTGCAGACAAAGAAGCTTACAGGTAAAGTAAAATGGAGTAACTTTTAATTTATACTTGTCCTGATCTTTTCCATCACAATCCAACAACCTGTTGAATAAAGTAAACATCACAAAGTCAAGTACACATATTAGAATACATATCAGAACACATACTAATAAAACAATATTGACAGTATAAAGATCAATATCATTCACTTAAAAAATTGTGGATTGTCCAGTAAATACTGTAAAAACAGTAATTTTCACTGATATATAATTTTACTATTTTGTGCTTATCCAACCAGAATTTAAAATCAAATTCATAAGTAAAGCAATGGAAAAAAATCTCTTGTAATTTAACACGTTAATGTGAACTATTATTATTTTATTAGTTTGCTTATCAGCAAAATTAAATTTATAGTACATATAACATAGACTTGAAAACAAGCCCCCATCTACAAGGCGAGGTGAGGCCTAGAGTTCTCTACAGAAGAGCTTCTATTACAAATCAATTTGTATGCACAAATTTTAAATTCGTTTAAATTAAGTTATATAACCTGATCTTATGGCGGGAAAGCTTGCCGCCCAAAACACAAGTTTATGCCAAAATGATAAAAAAACCTAAAAAGCATTTTAAACCGATTCTCTCAGCTAAATTAAATATAAACACAAACAATAATACCCCTTTTAATTAATTACGTTTATTAACAAGTTTTCTTGAATCCAAGTATATATTAAAATATTTCATAATAAGAATTTGTTCCCATAAACTTATTTAAAATTATTTTTATAAACATTACTTGAATATTTGGTTGTTTTAGATGAAAAAAGTAAGGTATTTATGAATATGCTGAAAGGCATGCCCAATATTGCCACACTCAAGTTAAATATTATAGTAGGCTTTGTGTGGGCTTGTCAACAGGTAAACAAGAAATATGATAAGTACGGGGCATTAAGTCAAGTATAAGAGGGGTGAGGACATGTCAGATATGGTACTAATATATTTATAATCTGGCAAATTTCATACAATCTATTCTGAGATATGTTAATTATTGAATTTGATTGATGATCAGTGTACATGGAAAAACAAACAGGAAAGTCATTATAGTGTGGTCTGTGTTTGCCGTGACTTTGACTGTTAGCACGGCAAACATCATGAATCACAGAGTCAATTCAAAGTCATGGGCATAGTAGATTTACCATGG